AGATTTTTTTCTTCAACAGATGCTTTGCTGCTTTCAAGAACTTGAAATAGCTGAGCACCACCCTTGCACACGCATAGGTGCTGAGCTCAGAGGATGTAGGAAGGTGTGCTGGGATGGTTGCATTACTACTGTGGTGATTAGCAAGGCTGCCTTGTGATTGTAGGGCTGTATTCTGAGCTTGCATAGATACTGGCCTGTCTTCCTTGCATGGCTTGTTTCACAACCTTAGCAAACTTGCCAAGAAGGGAGATAAGTCCTGCTCTTCTGAAAATGTGTTCTTGCTACGTGTCGTATGGCCTATAAGGGTTCAACTAATTGCTATTTTTTATTCCATCAGGGATGTGCAAGAGATACAGTAATAACATCAACCCTTGCTCAGAAGATCATATACATTCCTGAATGACTAGGGAACAGACCAGAGGAAACCTCCTAAGTTAAACAAAGGTAGAGGTGTTTTATTTGTTGTTTTCTAAAAACAAACAGCTTTTCAGATATACAGGAATGTTACAGATGAGAAACTCTGAATTGAAACCACTTTTTAAATTAATGAGGCAGTTAATAAGCACTGTCATTTGCATGGAGGAGAACAACTTGAAAAATGGTAGTGTTCAGTATAGCACGGAGTAAAAAATGGATCCGTTTTTGTCTCACAAAGAGCCAAAGAAAATGCCTTCCTGAGCAAACAGTCTGAAGAGCTGATATTTGGAAAGATAAAAGAGAAAACTTATTTTGTTTTTGTGTCTCTGAATCGATAGAGCTGAGGAGTGTAATAGCCCAAGGAGTGAGCATAAAATGCTCATCTCCAATTTTCCCTGGGGTACCAGGTGTATGTGGCATGTTAACATACACAATGTTTGTGTTGTTCCTTGAATGATACCCAGTTTAGGATATGCATGTCTTCTGTAACAAGAGTGTAGGAAGCAACTAATCCCTTTTACCTGGAAGGAGATGTAGCTTTGTCTTATTTTTGCCAGGGCTTTTGGAATTCAGTGGAGCATGTGTTTGCTTGAGCCCTGGAAAACAGTTCAGCCCTGGAAATGGGTTGAGAGCCTGGAAGGAGGAGCTTCCCCTCAGAGAAGAGAGACCTTTTATGAGTCCTGAGTACCAGGAACTCTGGAAAACAGTCTAGAAACTTTGTTTGCTTACTCTGGGAAGTGGATCTCTACACTATTCTGCACTTTAAAGATGGGGTGGGTGGCAATTTCTTTTTTAGTAACTGTTTTAAGGCCGTATTCTGTCATAATTTCTTGTAAGGCTTTAAAACTGACCCACAGGCACTCTGTAGCCTCTCTCCAAGCATTTAATACTACGTGGTGTCCCCAGATGTGCTAAACTTACTGCAGGGTGGATGAGGGTTATGTTGTTATGACTAGCTAATTAGCTAGGTTGTAGGAAACTAAATACCACCATCCTCACTGTAGCTGTGGGCAGAGATGATCGCTGTCATGCCTCTTTGAAGCATATGCAGAGGATGCGAAATGAAGGAGACATTTGATAGGGTTTTTTTGTGATAATAAAGTCTAACTTTTGAGGTTGTGAACGCTGTGCTATACTGACCTTCCTACAAGCTATACCTGACTGCAGGGTTGCTTCAGTATTTTCTCTTTCGTTACATCTTGCTGTAAAGAGTTAAGCGTGGCTATGCTGTATAGAGATTTTTAAACAGAAGCTCATGCAACTGTGCCAGTTCCAGAAATGGCTTTGAATTAAATAATACTTTCATTCTGAAAATGAACTTTTTTTTTAATTAGTCTTATCACAAGGCTCCTTCCCTGCAGTACAAGCATTCTGCGGCTCCCAACTGCAAGTCTACATGAAGTGTGAATCGAGTTTCAAGTCCAAAAGCTCCCAAATGTGATTGGCTTAAAGACAGTGAGACTTGTTTTTTCCCCCAAATGTAACGAATTATGGGTGCTTTGTTTCTTCACCTTCTCACTTTTAAGCCTGCTTCACAAGTTTCATGGCAACTATGAGAGAGAGATTTACTCTTCTTATTCCATGTGATGCCTGGGGTTCACTTGTGATCTCTTGGTCCTTGTAGCAGAGCCCTGGGAAAATAACCTCAAGTGTGGCCAGACTTGGTGAGGTTAGAAGCAGTGTTATGCACTCTTCCTCGCTTCTGATTCTCTTAAGGATCTGCCTTCATGGAAAATGGATGTGACCTGTACTACATAGCACTGTACTGCTAGGTATGCTCAAAAGAGGTTGGAAATTGTTCAAACCTAGGTGCTCTGATGTAGACCAGAGGCACAGCGGTCCGTTCCTTTTGCTGCCTGGCATACGACAGGGAGGCGAGAAAGGAAAAGGTCAGCACACCAAGGAGAAATGCTCCAGGTGGCTGTAGAGAACATAACTGAGGAGCTACCATGAGGTGCTGCTTTTGTCATTGGCTTTCTCGAGACTTTGTGATGTCCACCTGTCCTGGTCCCTCTCTTAACATGCTCCTCATTGCCCAGTTTCACTCATGAGACCATGAAGTGAGCTTCAGTGGATGTTTGTGAGGTTGGGCATGAGCTGAATTCCCTCGGAACCATGCTGCTGGCTAAAATCCGCCCTGTGACATTTCTCCGTGCCTAAATGCCCTTCATCCAGCAGAAGACTGTACACCCTTAAGGGAATAAACAACGTATGTAAACTATGGAGACACAGTAAAAATGAATTTGTCTGTTTGAAAGTATAATGGCAAATAATTATTATCATAGCTGTTTCTTTTCACCAGCGTGAGCAATCCCTCTTGAAATACTTTTCATGCTGCTGAGGAAATACGCACATGCATTTTTATTGCTTTTATCCATCTCCCTCATTCATTTCTTAGTGCAAGGCCTTTCCAGAGGATTGGCCATAGCCTTTCTTTTACAACAAACAGTTTGATTTAGGAGTGTTGCTACCCATCATTGCTACATTGGTGAGGAAATGAAATGTTTATGAACTAATCCATACTGTCCTCCCAAACCATAGATTTTGGTAATGGAAAGTTCAGTTTAATGCTCTAATAAACTGTGGTCTGATGTGTCTTGTGCCAATTAATCTAGAAGGTAGATGTGAGAGTGAAATTTTATATTTTCAGCAACATTTTAGATTTCATTTTGAAGTAAATGTGCCTGGGTAAATGAGAAAGTATTGCATTTTTCGTTATAAAATACATGAGAAATAGGTTACTAAGGAAGCATCTTTTCTTCATTACACATTTGAGCACTTCCTTGTAGCCCTATAAAAGTCAGCCTCCCCAGCATAAGAGGGGTGTAGATTTAAAGCTGCAGCAGGACTGCATGGACAGTAAGATAGTACTTGGAAGAAGATTGTCTGAACAGTGCGGTTGACTGTTTGTGGACTGTTTGCGGTGCGGTTGACAGGCCAGAGGGACAGGATGCCATCCAGAGGGACCTGGACAAGCTCCAGAAGTGGGCCCGTGTGAACCTCATGAGGTTTAACAAGGCCAAGTGCAAGGTCCTGCACCTGGGTCAGGGCAACCCCTAGTATCAATACAGGCTGGGGGATGAAGGGATTGAGAGCAGCCCTGCTGAGAAGGACTTGGGGGTACTGGGGGATGAAAAGCTGGACATGAGCCAGCAATGTGCGCTCGCAGCCCAGAAGGCCAATCGTATCCTGGGCTGCATCCAAAGAAGCGTGGCCAGCAGGTCGGAGGAGGTGATTCTGCCCCTCTACTCTGCTCTGGTGAGACCCCACCTGGAGTACTGCGTCCAGCTCTGGAGCCCTCAGCATAAGAAAGACACAGACCTGTTGGAGCGGGTCCAGAGGAGGGCCACAAAAATGCTCAGGGGGATGGAACACCTCTCCTGTGAAGAAAGGCTGAGAGAGTTGGGGCTGTTCAGCTTGGAGAAGAGAAGGCTTCTGGGAGACCTTCTTGCAGCCTATCAGTACTTAAAGGGGGCTTATAAAAAAGATGGCGGCAGACTTTTGAGCAGGGCCTGTTGTGACAGGACAACAGGGAATGGCTTTAAACTAAAGGGGGGTAGATTTAGACTAGATATAAGGAAGACATTTTTTATGCTGAGGGTGGTGAAGCACTGGCACAGGTTGCCCAGAGAGGTGATGGATGCCCCATCCCTGGAAACATTCCAGGTCAGGCTGGACGGGGCTCTGAGCAACCTGATCTAGTTGAAGATGTCCCTGCCCACGGCAGGGGGGTTGGACTAGATGACCTTTAGAGGTCCCTTCCAACCCGAACTATTCTATGATTCTATGACCGTGCTGTGTTTAAAGCCTGAGATTTGGTTGAAAACCTGCTGAAGTGGAACAATTGTTCTTGTAATAATGGTATGAAATACCATAAGAGGGGAGCTACATGAAAAAGGAAAATACTTCACTGTAGAAGCAAGTTTACATCACTGGGAGCATTACATTTGTGGAGTTTGGTCAGGCAGGAGTGTTGTACACACTGTGTCTTTTTAGTATCTCAGGACTAACGTAGAGAAGATGGATATGAAGGCTGAGAGGGCTTACTGATGTGAACAACCAAGTTTGCCTGCCAGAAAGAGGACGTCTTTGGCAAACTTTCTCTTTTTGGGTTTGCCATTGTGGCATGAGGGTCGGGGCTAGCAGATCTGTGTGAAGGATGCAGGTGATGTTATATAGTGATGTCAGGCACCTCAGTAATAGGAAATATTCACTTACATTGCTGTTGTGTAAAAGTGTTGGAGATGTCTCCAAATAGATGCCGAATCTTCAGAGCCTTGTGCTGAAGCTGTGAGATGGCAGTGAGTATATACACTGGCTCCTGCAGTGTTAGGGTCAATTAGTGCACTTCCTGTTCCTTCTTGCACTAGGGAAGAGTGACACAGCTGTTGTTTCGCTTCCTTGGTTTCTTAGTCTGTAGGTGGGAGGGAGAAATGACCAGTGTCTCAGTTCCTGGGAGTGAGAAAGGAAAGCTACACAGAGGGAGTTGTGAGGAGACATGTCTGAACAACCTTTGCCCAAAGAAGGGCCGGAAGGAGGATCCGGGGAACTACAGGCCTGTTAGCCTGACCTCAGTGCCGGGGAAGATCATGGAGCGGATCATCTTGAGGGCGCTCACAAGGCAGGTGCGGGACAACCAGGGCATCAGGCCCAGCCAGCACGGGTTCATGGAAGGCAGTTTTAAACATTGGAACAGGCTGCCCAGGGAAGTGGTTGAGTCACCATCCCTGGAAGTATTTAAAAGACGGGTAGATGAGGCGCTTAGGGACATGGTTTAGTGGGCATGGTGTTGTTGGGTTGATGGTTGGATTCGATGATCTTGGAGGTCTCTTCCAACCTTTAATGATTCTATAATTCTCTTTTTCTAAATGAGCTTGGGACAGTGGGTGGAGCATGCTGTGTACAACACTCAGGTGCTGTAAGACCAGTAAATAACTCCTGACACATCAGGCATGCCTGACTGCTGTGCTTTGTTGCCCTGGATAAATGCCCCTTTCTGTCCATCTGGTCTCTATTTCTGCACAGAACTGCACCAACCACTGGCTGGAGACCATTCTTCTAAAATAAATTAAAATCTAGTCCCAGACTAGGGAGAACATTGATGGAGTGCAGAAACAGTTGTTCCTTTTAAGAGCCCCGTGTCCATGTTTTTGACATTCTACTCCTGCATGTAAGAGGAAAGCACCTGTAATGTGAGTGGGGCAATGGGGACAGGAGGCTGTGCTTGATGGTCTCTTTGGTGGATGTTGATACTGTGGATGGCTGTGCAAGCCCATTTGGGTCTGGGATATCTCCAAAGCAAAGCACTGTGAGTAGTACAAAACAGCCTCTGCCTTTTCCTAGCCAAGGATCCGGACCCTTGAGCAGTGCTAGACAGAGGGGTGCTGCTCCTCTTGCAGTTCCCTGCTGTCTGAAATCCATCCCGCTCAGTGCATACAAATCCCGCTCTTGATGGGCTTCTTGGCTATCCCTGGCCTGGCAGACACAGCAGTGGAAATGTCTTTGCTCATATGTGTGGTGGTATCCTGCTTTCAATGAATACAGCCTGTGTCAAGAGCAGAATTACGTTCTTGGGCTCGGTGACCACCTCTCCTCAATCGTTCTGACCTTTCCGCCTTGGTTTTGTAGGGTGCCTGCTCCACAGTGCTGGTCACTGTGTCTAGTGCTGCATACCAAGGACCAGTGTTCTGCAGCTTGACCTTTCTCTGGGGATTTAGCCCTGCTCCCAAGGAGTTAAACTGTCAATTGTGTTGAGTAATGGAAAGTATGTTCATTAACAATGTTCTATTTAAAACACAAAGCAAATGTAATGATGGCAAGAGGTGTCGGATGACAGGGACTGAGAATTACTTTTTCTATTCAGAGCCTGAGCAGATGCAGGGCGGCCTTCCCCAGCTGCCGGTGTCTTCAGTCTCTCTCTGCGGGTAAAGGAGGAGCGCAGTCATGGTGCATCGTGTGCCGTACAGGAGTGCGGTGGTATTTCTTGTGCGGAGTATTTCTTTCCTTAGGTGAACAAAAAATATAAGAGGAAGCAGCCTTTTTTGAGGAGCATTCCCCAGGATCAGAGTTCTGAGCGATGCTTGTGTTACTAGTATGGAGGCAGTAGGTTGAAACAAGTTCAACCTTTAAATGGTTTTGAGGCAAAGTAGGAGGTTTCCCTGCTCTCCTACAGATGAGGCACCAGCTGTTTAGGCATTTCCAAACTGTGCTTTCAGGTTGGGTATTTTTTGGATGGGATTTATTGATGAATTTAAAGCTGACAGTAAGAGAAGGTTTCGTGTGTTTCTCAATTTAAAAAAAAAAAAAGTCATTAAATTTCCAAAACATCTTGTTTCTACATTTTCAAAATAAATAACAAAAAAAAAATTGGTTTATGTTGAAGCTGTCACTAGCTGAAAGAGGCTAGTGTATAAGGAGTTTGCCATCCTTTATAAATTACTGAATTATTTAAGACCACCCCAAAATGTTTTTGTCTTATAAGAACATGAACATTTTTCAGATATTTGTCTCTGTCTAATTTTGGGGTGGGGATTTTTTAAAATTACTAAAACCTTTGGATAGCATAAAAATCCATTCCCTGTGCAGCCCTATGAAATACTTAAAGACTCAGTCTCAGTTTAATGGGAAAGAAGTATTCTCTTTGTTTTCATCTGTTTTGTCTGTAAAAATTATTTCTGCTTTAATTTTTGAGGAGTGAGAGTAGTGTAGGTAATGTTACCTTGATTCCTTGCAATTAGAATTCAGAGAAATAGGGTCAGGCTGGTTACATCTCATAATCTGGCATTTTGTTTTAAACAAAAATATGAATGTGAGTTTTTACAAATGGGTGGCTTAAAAATCTGTCTACTTCTGCACTGATGAGAAGTCATCCCATTTTGTTAGTTGTCTGGGCTTGGGCCCCAAATATTTTAAAAATTAATAAAACTTGCAATTTCAGAAAGGAAAATATGATGGAAGTTTCAGCCTTTCCTTTAGGGCTGGTTCTGTGACTACATGTCAACGCAGTGTGACAGGGCAGTGTAAAAAGGAGGCTGACAGCATGTATGGTGAAATGTTGTTTTGTTTTTTGTTTGTTTGCTTTCCCAGCAACTGAGATCCCTAGTTTCTTGGAAAGAGGAACCACATGGAGCATGTGTGTATAGGCAGTATATTGAGGAACAGTAGGGTGTCTAGCAGTCCCTTGAGAAATGCCCTCCAGGCTGAGTCCCTATAAAGAACTTGCTTTAATGTATCTCCCACTTTTTTTCATTGCCTTTTTAGGATAAGGTTAAATAACTTTTTTTTTTTCCCCGCTTCCTTCTATCAAGGGTTTTTCCCATTGTGCATGTAGCAACCGCAACCCCCTGTAAACTACCTGTTGGCATAAGTCTCTGGCCAGGGTATAATTCAGAGATTCATTTGGCCCTGTCTACCAGCATGGTGAGGGTTTAAATGGGAGATTTTTTTGGGAAGCCTCAGAAAAGAGGCAGCTGCTGCTTCAACGGCTGCAGTTTATTCTGGTGCCAGTCACCCCCGCTGTGCCCTGCTGCACCTGTTGGCACTTGAATTATGGTCATTTCGTGCATGGTAACTTAATAAGGCAAAGTCGGATTTTAATAGAACAAGCTGACACTCAGATGGGGATTAAGGCAGTTTCATGAACGCTTAAGGAAAAGAGAGAGGAGCTACATTTAAGGGCAGGGATGTGCAGGTAACGATACCTCCCTGAGCAATGGCTATTCCCACTGTCACTGCAGAAGAGGTAATTGGACTCCTTTTGCCATGGCCCACGGCATGATGGCCCCAGGGCCAGTTCCCAGGTACAGAGCCTTTTGGGGTGGCTGATATTTCTGATTGCTTTTTCTAGTTGTCCATAAAGCTATAAACACAGGCAGTAGCTAGGATCCCTTCCTAATAGTGTTGTGGACCTGCGGTTGCAGCATTATGGAGGAGATCTTGCTGGGAAGAGTGGCTCTGCGTGGCCCCCTGCAGCAGGGCCACCCTGGCTGGTTTTGGGTCTTGCCTGGTGCACCAGGGCAGGTGCCACCGTGGGAGCTGTTCTTACACTAGCTACCAGGTCTCCTTCTCCCAAAAATGTTTAAATGCTGATGTAGGTGGTAGTTCCCTAATTACTCCTTCTCCCAGTCCCCAAAGAAAACACTTTTCATTCAGATTAAGTAGAGTGACCTCCTGGAGAGGTCTATATTTTTTTTCCATAAAACTTTATTTTGTGAAATACAATATACAGAGAAAATAAATTAAGTGCTGAGTGCTGCGTTGAGTGGATTTGCACAGCTTTAGAGGAAAAAAAGACTTTATAGCCACAGAGTGACCACAGGAATTTATTGATGCTTTATTTTTCCAAGAGATTACATTGTTCAATGCAAACAACATGGAAAGAGATGCTTGGGATGGATGGATCCTGGATGGTAGTAGTTTATTCCATCTAGCTTGCCTTGGTGAAAGTTCAGGTTTTTTTAAATGAAAGTGTAGTCACCCTGAGGTGATACCTATGGACGCACTGGTAAAAAGTGGTGGGGTTGGAGGCACATCATCCAGTTCTATGCCATTTCCATGTTGATGGTGACAGACTGAGCAACAATTTCAGGCAAATCTCAAGTGCCATCTGGTCTTTCTGAATTTGACTTGTTCTGGGAAGGAATGGGAGAGTTGGACTTGAAGTCAACATTGCCTGAAGAAACACTTGCAAAATGACAAACTGAGCCCTTGATTTCTATTTTGAGGTGTTTGCTGTTTCATACAGGAGTGGGAATGTGTCTTTCTTGGGCTGGAATAACTAACAGTTCAAATAAACCCACAGACCCATGATATTTTATGTTTGCGTTTTAAAGACAGCTGCTAGGTTTTTCTTTGGACAAAATAGCATATCAAGCTTGTGGGGTTTTTTGTTGTTTTTTCCCTACTTGTAGAAGAACTGCTAAATGACTGGGTACTTTTGAACTTCTCTTTTGACTATGGATCATGACTGTTAGAATACTCTTTTTCAGATGATTATTTTGTTTGAAGAGCTGTTCTCAGTAGTTCACACAACTATTCAGCCTACTCTGTCTTTACTGAAATCTACAAATTATCAGAAGGTGTTGCTTTGATTTCCTTTTTTTAAAACAAAATCTCAATGTGCTTATAGGATAAATGTCTCAGGCTGTCAGTTTGCATAGCTTAAACTCTAATTTTGTATGACAACAGAGATCTAGGGTGATATTTAAGCCTGATCACTTCCATGCTCATGAATAAACGGAGCATTTCTTTTCACAGTTTGGGTACGTTTGAAAAATCCACTAAACAGTTTCCAACCAGTTATAGAGCTGTGAACAAGACCCAGGAATATGCACTCCTGTTTTCTTTGCTCTTGGACAACGGTCTCATTTTATTCTATTTGTATCATCGGGGTGATGGTGTCACGTTGGTTTCATAACCTATGTCTGGCCATGGGCATGTAGAAGCCTTTAAGCATAGCAAACGGACAAGGTTAGGTGTGCAAATGAGAAGAACATACCGTTTGGTGTCTGGGGAAGTCCACTTAGACAGACAAGATGTGCTTTACAAATGCTGTGGAAAAATACAGATATGCTAGTTAGAAGGAGCAGCAAATGTTACTTTGGGAAATGCCTTTAAAAATAACAGCTGTTCATGAGTTGATGGCATTAAAAACACACGTTCCTGATCAGATTTGACCCAACATTGTGATAGAAAGTTCTAAGTGTTTAATGTTGTACAAACCAAATTCTCTTCCCACTTAAGTGTGATAAGGCTAGATATATGATGAATAGAGCACTTTGTCTAAGCATTAGCTATAGGATTGGTTCCAATCACTGCAACTGCCCTACAGAAAGTCAGAGAGTCTAGAGATGTGGCATTGACTGAAGTAGCCTTCTCTGCTGTGGCTCAATCTAGTCTTTTGAGTAGTGTGACTGCAGGCTAAACATACTGCAACTGTTGTTTTCATGCATAAGCCTTTCAAACTAACTCAGCTGTAGCTTTGTCTAACTGATTTGCCTGAGAAGCTAAAAGCCAACCACAATGAAACTCTGCGAGAGAGAGAGAGAAGAAATGTAGGATGAGAGGGTGTTGAACCCTTGCACCTACCCTCGTAGTTGATGCAGCCATTGGAGTCTTCCTGACCTTTCATGAGTTCGTCTACTTCCTCTTCTGTCATCTTCTCACCTGGAGGGTGGTGAGAGCTCACTTAATTCTTCCACAGACACGCAACTGAGGCTGAACCCTACAAGCTTTTCCAAATGCTTTCCTTATTTTCTGAGTTAGTAACAAAAAGACCTGTAACTGAACTGAGCTTTATTACTTTTAATTTTCTTTAGAAGTTTTGCAGGTGCATATAGACACAGGGATTCTAGTTATTCCTACAGAGTGAAGAAACTGTGCAGCAAATCCTCTACCTTTGTCCCTGTGCTTTACATCACTGAGGCATACAGCCTTTTCTGTGCAACTTCTTTACAACTTCCCCAAGAGAGGCAGCGGACAGGGAGGTGCTGATCTCCTCTCTCTGGTGACCAGTGATAAGACACGAGGAAATGGTATGAAGCTGCATCAGGGGAAGTTCAGACTGGACATTGGGAAAAGGTTCTTCACTGAGAGGATTGTTGGTCACTGGAACAGGCTCCCCAGGGAAGTGGTCGCAGCACCAACCCTGTCAGAGAGTTCAAGGAGCGTCTGGTGATATTCTTAGTCATATGGTTTAGTTTTAGGTAATCCTGTGAGGAGCAGGGAGTTGGACTTGATCCTTATGGGTCCCTTCCAACTCAGAGTTATTCTATGATTCTCTCTATTCCTCAAATAACAGGCACTCTTAATACCTAGTCTGAATTTAGAAGTAACAAACCAAACCTTTTCCTTTGGGCTTTCTATTTGTGTCCGCTTTCCTTGTGGATTCCCAGTTAGGAAACCCAGAGTCTTGTCTGGCTTTGTAGCCTCCTGCCTTTCCAAACTGATTAGAGTATCTTTCCTCCCTCTCTCATGCTTTCAAACAGCAGCAATTTTTAAAGTGCTCACAGAGATGACAATCCCTTACCCAGAGTAGCCAGTACGTGACGGAGTTCAGCCCCCATGACTGTGCCATTGCCTTCCTTGTCAAAGACACGCAGACCTTCAACAAAGTCTTCATAGGTACCCTGTTCCTTATTGTTAGCAGCTGCTTGCAACATGGGCAGGAACTCTTCAAAAGTAATTTTCTTGGCATTCATCTCTGGAAAGAAAGCACCAGTTGCTACATGCTAGACACTTCTATGTGTGTTCTTTTGCGATATTTGCCCTCAAATGTGGGAGAGCCTCCCACCTCATTTACACACTTCTTTCTATCCTTTACTCTAGTTTTTGCTTCAGGATTTGGCAGTTTCTTTGCAGAATCTGGATTCTCTCTTATCATGGGAGTTAATTTTCACATCCTTGCTCCACCCCTCTTCTCACGTAATTTTATATGCTTATGTGCATGTTGTATTTTTCTTTCAGAAATGAAACTTGCTGTACAAGTTGATCTTTGAAAGGATTTTGGGAGTGGGGAAACTACAGAATACAGTAAAACAGAAATCTTGAGCCCCAAGCAGTGGGAAAAGGTAACGAGAGTGGGATGTTGTGACTTAGACAAGCCCCTGAGGTTGCTGACATCATGTTACTGACCTCTTCAGGGTCTCTTTGGTGTGGTAGCAGAGACTATTAGCAAAAGAATAAACTAATCAAAACCAGGAATGTCCAGTGGGGGTGGTGTCCAAATTTACTTTTTAACATGTTGTGTGGAGGTTTAAGGACTCACAAGCTTAGTGCATCTATCCCCTTTGGTCTCATGAGCTGGAAGTTTTAGTCCTCAGTGGGGCCTTCCCCAAATGGTTTTTGTTGGAGCAAGGCTGCCAAATAAAAGGATTTCCCCCGCCCCCCCGAATCTTTGCAAAAAGCAGCCTTCATCTGGACAGCGATGAAATAGAGTAAATGGAAACACGGGAGAGACTTTTGAATATATAGTTGTTTACAGAAACTGTTTTACTACCCAACTATATAAAAATCACTGTCAGTTATTACTGTAGTCACTTAAAGTACTGTCATGGTCTCACTTCTGTGTTAGTCCT